ATCCCCACTTCTTATTATATCTTTGGCTCATGTCTAAGCACTCGTAATGAAATGTCTGATCTTAGAGTTTTCGACTCCAAATTTCTTTTTAATAGTCATCTAAACTATACTATAGCAAAGTCCTATTCTATACTAGCTTTTATTCGCCGTTTCAGCTCTGAGTTTACTGACCCGTACACTCTGAAACTAATCTTTACTTCTCTCGTCCGCTCTAAATTAGAATATGCTGTCTTTATCCGTTCACTTCAGTTTGTTGATCCGATTCCTTCATACACTACCAGATATCAGTTAATCGATCTTAAAACTCTAAAAACCAGTAGGTCCTTTCTTTCACTTAGTTCTGTATATGATATTATTCGAGGGGCGATTGATTCTCCATTCTTACTTGAATGCATCTACTTTAATATCCCCACAAGAGACCTGCGTAATCATGAAATTTTTTTCTAAATCGCGTTAGATAAGGTGACCAGACTTTTTTCATATTCCAGGAGGACAAATTCTCCACATTTATTTTTATTTTAACACATAAATAACGAAGAAATTAACAATCCAAAGTTTCTCTAAACACAATTCAAACAATTTAATAGTACACTGTGTTGCATAAGTATAAGACCGCCACATATTAACAAGTTTGGACTATTTCTTTTTAAATTATTTAGTTGTCATTGTATTACTTGCAAAAGAATTTGCTTGTTCTTCGTATTTCGTCAAAGTTTGACCATAATTTTGTATCAACGCTATATCTCGTTCAGTAATATCATTAACATATTTAGTGCTCTTAATCGTCTCTAAGACAATCAACTTCAGGGCCATTTTTTAGAGAATTTAATGCCCTAATGTAGGGCTGCCAGATATCTCTGTTGCCAAACCGGGACACTTAAAAACATAAAAACATGAGATCATGAGATCATTACAACGTACACCAGTAAAACAAAACAATTTATCACAACTAAAGTACAAAGAATTTTCCACAATGCATGTACCTTTTTTGTTCCTTATAAAAATACAGTTTATACTAAATACATCAGGGAACATAAAAATAAAATTTCTAAACTTTGTGCAAAACTCGGGAAAATGCAATTATTTTGCATATGAAATTCGCAACTTTCTATTCAGACTTTTTTATAAAAATTTTGAAAATGAAGTTTTGCAGCCCATAAAAATTTAGTTCATTTTTGGTATTGATTTTACTGAGAGTTTCTTCCATACAAACTATGGGTGCGTTCCAAAACGTCAAAATAGAAAGCATCAGTCTCATTTATTTCTAAACCACACTAGAAGAAAAAGCCTAACTTGCGCAACCTAGTAGAAAACTAACATCTGACCGTGGTTGCGCACATTTGGCATCAAAATCTACTGAGGTCTAGAAATAAAAGAGACTGATGCTGTGTATTTTGACGTTTTGGAATTCACCCTATGTTCGACATTTTTTTGTATGTGGAAGACACTGTCAGCAAAAAATAAATAATTGCAAAAAATCAACGAAATTTTCTGGTAACTTCAGACTTGCACTTTACTAATTGGCTCAAAAGCTACATTTTCAACATTTTTCTAAAAGATCAAAAGATCTGATCAGATGAAAGAGTCTCCGAGCCAATAATTTTGTACGGCACGGTACTTATAAGTAATCTAGGTTTCACGAAAGAAAAAAAATTAAATACAAGGTAACATTAAAATATCAGTCATTTGTTTCGTTGCTGTGAGCTTGTTTCAAAACTTCTGGCTTTTGCTTAATGTTGGTTGGTTGGTTGCAGTGCTTCCTAGGCGCTGCCCAGGATACAATTAGCGCATTATTGCGCCATTTTGATGCACTTCTCGCGGGGGATAAATATCTTGTCTGTGCACTTCCTATGTTGCTAGGTCGAACCATTTCGACTCTCTAATGAATCTGCCGATTTCGCTAATGGTAGCTCCTGATAGGTCGGTTAGTTCAGCTATTAGATGTTTCCCTAACGTCTTGTGTCTAATGTTCGAAAGGCCTGGACATTCACACAGGAAATGCTGGACACTTTCTTCGCTATTTTCTAGTTGACAGCTGCGGCAAATCATATTATGGGGTAGACCTATTTTTGCCCCATGTTTGCCTATGGGCCAGTGGCCTGTGATGGTTGCTAAAATTCTAAATACCTCTGGCCTTGATCTGCTAAGCAGGTCCAAGGTTTTCGCCCTGTTATAGTCAGGCCATAGTTTTCTCGCTATCCTACAAGTCTGTATATCTGACCACCTGCGTCTAGCCAGTTCAAGGAAATGCGTAGTAATCTCTCTTTGGACTACTCCAAGAGGGCAACCCAGTGCCACTGCCTTGGATTCATCCAAACCGGCTCCTGCCTTCGCCAACTCATCCGCCTTCTCATTGCCTTCTATGTTCCTATGTCCGGGAACCCAGACAAGAGAGACGGTATTTGACTGAGACACTGAGCACAATATTACTTTGCATTCCCCAACTAGCTTGGATTTGGTAACCGGTGACGCTATTGCCAATAGCGCCGCCTGGCTGTCAGAGTATATTGTTGCTTTACTGCTGTGTCCAACCCTATTGCCTAGGATTTTGCAGGCTTCTAGGATCCCTAGGACTTCCGCTTGGAAGATGCTTGTATTATTTCCCAACCGCAGAGACAGAGCCACGCCTAGTTCCTTGGAGTAGACACCTGCTCCCACACCGCAATCCATCTTGGATCCATCGGTGTATAGAGAGATCTCTTCTCGGTCGGCCACTCGGTCTCTTCTCCAGTCCCTTCTGGATGGGAATAGCACTTGCGCGTTACAGCTGAAGTCCAAATTGCCTACCATATAATCTGTCGTCCTATTTAGTTGCATTTGATTTATGATCAACCCATGTCCGAAGTGTCTAGTCCTCCAAAGGCCCGACTCTCTGAGTCTGACCGCCGATTTCATAGCCACTTCTTTCAGGTGGAGATCAATAGGAATTAAATTGAGGATGGCGTCTAAAGCTTCTGCCGGGCAGGATCTTAGTGCGCCTGTTACTCCTGCGCTTGCTGCCCTTTGTATGCTTCTTAGCTTGCTGACATTATATTGTCTGCTTAGGCCGGGCCACCAAACCAAGGCGCCGTATGTTAGAATTGGTCTTATGATCGCGGTATACATCCACATCACAAGTTTAGGATTTAGTCCCCAGTTTCTACTGAAGATTCTCTTGCAAGTGTAGTATGCTATGTAGGCCTTCTGTCTACGGAATTCGATATTGGTTTTCCAGTTAAGTTTGTTATCCAGCACGACTCCAAGATACTTTGCGCTGGGGGACAATGAGAGCGCATTGCCGTCTAGCGATGGTAGCTTGAATTGTGGTAGTTTGTGTCTGTTTGTAAATAGGATAAGTTCTGTCTTCGCTGGGTTCACATTTAGGCCGCTTCTCGTAGCCCAGGCGTGTAGTCTTCCCAGGGTTCCTTCAAGGATTTCGCTAACGGTAGAGAGGAATGGACCTGTGGCTGCTATTACAACATCATCCGCATACGCCACAACTTTGACTCCCCCTCTATTGAGTTCTAGCAATATACCGTTCAGGGCTATCACCCATAGCAGTGGTGAGAGCACTCCGCCCTGTGGAGTGCCCCTGTTCACATGATGTGTAATAGAGCTAGCCCCATTTGTTGCCTGAATGATTCTATTGACTAGCATCGATCGTATCCATCTACAAACACTGTCGTCAACACCAATATCTATCAAAGAGTCTATGATGGTGTCAACCTCAATGTTATTAAATGCGCCCTCGATGTCAAGAAATGCCGCCAGAGTATATTGTTTACAGTGCAACGATCTTTCTATTAAGCTCACCACTTCATGCAAAGCAGATTCAGTGGATCTGCCTTTGATGTATGCATGTTGTGCTGTTGAGAGTGTCGCTTCACCTAACAGCGATCGTATATAAATGTCGAGAAGCCTTTCCATTGTTTTAAGCACAAAGGAGGTAAGGCTTAGGGGGCTAAAATCTTTTGCTGTTTCGTGGTTTTTCCTTCCTGGCTTGGGTATGAACACGACTTTTACCCTTCTCCAGCTTTTAGGAATGTAGCACAAGGTAATGGTAGCCTTAAAAATAGTCACGAGTAACGGTGCTATCTCTCCCTTCACCCTCTGGAGCATTGCTGGGATTACGCCATCTGGTCCAGGGGATTTGAAGGGGGAGAAGCTGTTAATAGCGTAAATAATCTTTTCCCTGCTCGCGATCGAGTTCAACAGTATACTGCTAGTTGAACCAGGTTCAGTTGACCCTGATGTGGGTGGATGTCGAATACATCCTGGGAATTGGAACTTGACTAACGTGTTTAGAGAATCACTAGCTGTGTTCGTCCACACCCCGTTTTCTCCCTTAATGAGTGTGATATTTGTGTGTTCTTTTGATAGGATTTTGCTGAGCCTGGCTGAGTCTTTAGAGTTCTCTATAGAAGAGCAGTAAGATTGCCAGGATTTAGTTTTAGATTTTCTCAACTCCTTTTTATAAGATCTGAGGGCGCTTTTATAAGGCGCCCGGTTTTTAGTTCTAAAGCAATCATTGTAGATTTTCCTTAATTTGTCTCTTTGGGCTCTGAGATCCCCATTCCACCAGGGTGGGGATTTCTTTCTTGCTGTACTAACTGGAGTTGATCTTTCAAAGGCTTTCTTCATAACCTCTTCTAGTTTATTTACTCTATTATCAAGGTCCTCAACTGTAGTGACAGTTGTATTTAGTGGGAGCTTACTTAGTTTATGCTTAATTGTGTTACTATATCTTTCCCAATTAGTCCTGTGGGGGTTTCTGTATTTTGAGGGGGTGCTGGAAATTCCGTGCAGATTAAAGAGGATCAGGCGGTGATCAGACATTGAAGGCCTATCAGATACTCTCCACTCTTCTACAGACACGCTGTCGTTCTCTGACAACAGGGTCAGATCCAGCACCTCCTCCCATCCAGGAAACCGGTTTGAACTCGGGAATATGAATGTGGGTGTATTACCTCTATTGCAGATGCTTAAGTTAGTATTTAATAAGAAGTGTAGTAAAGACTCACCTCGGTCGTTCTCCGTAGAACTACCCCAAACTGGATGCCTTGCATTCGCATCGCAGCCGACGACTATAATTTGTCTGGGGTTTTTGGCTATTATCTCCTGGATTTCGGTTGGCGGACTGTCCCTATCGTGGGCCACGTATGATGAGACCAGGAGTATACTTGGCTGTCCGGTGGTCTCCACCTTAACCATTGTTGTATCTGATGTGCTGAAATTAGAGCAAAGTAATGCATTTATACCGTTCTTGATAAGAATACACGCCCGCGGTTTACCCACCTCGCTCTTATAGTAGAGTTTATAATTATTTATATTTAGTCCCATGATTGTATCGTGCTTGACCCAGGGCTCTTGAATTAGGCTAATGTCTATATCCTCCTCACTGAGAAGGACAACTAAATTATCTGTAGCACATTTGGAGTGCTGCAGATTTATTTGGGCTACTTTAAGTTTCTGGTTCAGGGTCATCTGTCAGCTTCACACCCATGAGAAGCTCACCAGCTCCATCAACCCCGGGATCTTCTTCTACCGGGCTAACCTCTCCGAGGAATACCCGCACTCTAGCCTTACGGATACCGAAGCAGAGCCGATAGTCAGCCTTCTCTAAGGCGTCTAGTGACTCTGCACAAATAGCTAGTAGAATGGGCTTATTTGTAGGCCTTCTTGGCTCTTCAACTTTTATAAGTTCCCATTCCTCGATCGCCGGTATCTCTTTGTTATGTAGCTTAAGACACCGCAGCAACTTTTCGCCTGGTTCATCCATCGGAGGCAGCCAAATGCGCGCACGTGGTCTCCTTGGGATGTCCTTAGCTGGGATCAGCTTGAGCTTCAAGCCGACAAAAGTGTCGCTGATCTTAGCGACGCATCCAGCAAGGAAATCCAGGGAGAACTGGTTCGCGCACTTGACTACCCGGTATCCCCGTAGGGATTCCGACGAGTCGAACTCTGGGTGAGGACCTTCGGGGTTGTCGAGTACGTGGTTCATTACGAGGCTCGACAGCCTCACATCAATCTCCACCCACTTTTGCTGCACTGCTAGCGGTGTCTTGCTGTTTTCATCTATTATCGCCGCCTGTAGATGATCTCTGGCGACGTCACTAAAATAGCGATGCTTCGCGGGTGCTGCGGACTCCGCATCACCACCTTGCTTAGCCTTCTTTGCGATGGCCCCTTGGCCGCCTTCGTTATGAGAGCGGTTCCGCTTCTTCGCTTCGGTGGCCTCGATTGTGGCTGCACGATTTGTCTGTAACTTTTCGTACTCTTCCACTATTTGCCTGTATTTTGCCTTGTCTTCCTCGTCACGCTCATGTACCGTACCGGCCGCTGCATTTTTGTCAATTTTATTTAACATATACAGCGCCTTCTGGTACATCTGTCTCATGACCACGCCCGAGGGTTTTTTTTTCTTAGAGGCGGGGTTGCTGCCTGCAACGGCCGCCGATTTGCTGGTTGTTGGCTGCTCGTCCGGAGTACTACGGCAGGCACTACCGGTGCTATTTTTGACTATTTGCAGAGTGGTGATACTTTGTCTGGCATCTTCCACCCTGCTGGTTTCTGGCGCTTGTACAACTGGGGTACTATGGCTGGAGCCACCAGGAGTACTTGCAACCATCTTACCTGACCTTGGGGATTTGAAGAGCTGCTCCTCCTCTGACAGCGTTACGTCGTCCCCTTCTTCGCTGGTACGCTGTTCCTGTTGCTGTTGTTGGTTTGTTTGTTGTTGTTGTTTGTTTGTTTTTGTTTGTTTTTGTTCCATATGTGGTCCCACGAGTAGTCCGGAAAGGGTTAGTCACTCATCCGCAGAGCCGGTATGCATAGAGAAGGCACTTCTTAAAACCGACCTTGCCCGGGCATCGGAGGGGACCGTACGCGACCAGCCATTTTTTACTACCCGCTGGCCATTCATCCATCGGCACGGTTGCCTACACACCTTGGCTTGGGTAGTGTTGGTACGGTAATCCTGCCATTTCCACCTTCAGCAATAAAAACAACACTCCAGCTGGGATTGTTAAGGAATATTGCCAAAGGCTTCAATACCAGGCTTCCCTCTTAGTTCATGGAGGCATGATACAATTCACACTGTGAGTTATACCATGACACCATTTAAGCCCCCTCGCCACGGCAAGACGACCAACGCTGTAAAACTCTGTGCATGTCATTTTAACGTATTTAGGTACATACTTATATTAATCATCAACTATTGCTTGGGCAAAATGTGCTAAATTAAAAAAAAAAAAATCGCATATGAAAGAGCACCAACCCAACTCGTAATAAATTTAAGTATACAAATTTTAGTTTTTAGTATAGAAATATTCAATTGAAATACGCCAATATTGAAATGAAGCGCTTTGCACTTAACGGATGCTTTTTCATAATTAAGTTAAAAAAATATATATTTAAATTCCATGCTGTCTGTAATGAGATTTGAACCCTGACGCTCTGGAAATTCGCAAATTGTGGCGAGCATCTTCGTGCACTCAGCTACAGCCAGACATGTAAATAAATGTGTATTCAAATGTTCAGTTTGATTCAACACCACGTGTGCGTGGTATGTACAGTATCGGTCATATCTATAGCACGCCATTTCCAAGTGATATTGTGTTCCCCTTATGTTTATTTATTTATTTTTAAGAATTTTCAATTAAAATTTAGTTCATTCTCAGACAAACCCCATATATACCCAAGTTCAACAATTTGTAGAGAACTGCAAAAAAGTGTAACAAATTTTCACCTAAATTTTAAACTTTTTTCCCGGAAGTGTTAGAATTTTTTTGAGTATACAGTTTTTTAGCCCCTGCAATTTTAGTCTGATAATGTGCAAATTTCAAGTGGCTACGAATTACCGTTAATTTTTCAGATTTTTTTTGTCGCATTGGCTTCCATATAATGAATAAACTCAATTTATTTGTATATGGAAGAAAACCGCAACACCTTTGGCAAAAAAAATTCTAAAAAATCAACGGTAACTTTTAGCCACTTGAAACTTGCACATTATCAGACTAAAATTGATTGGGCTATAAAACTGTGTATTCATAAAAATTCAAACACTTTCGAGAAAAAAGTTTGAAATTCAGGTGAAAATTTGTTGCACTTTTTTGTAGTTTTCTACAAATTTTTAAACTTGGGTTTGTATGGGTTTTGTTAGAGAAAGAACTGTATTTTAATTGAAAATTCTTAAAAATAAATAAATAAACAGGAGTGGCACACAATATCACTTTAAAATGGCGTGCTATAAATATGACCGATACTGTAAGTATTGTTTTTAAGTACGAACATTTCAAAACGATAATCAAATAAAAAATATTCATGTTTACTATGCGTTATTTCCCCCAGTAAACTCATAAAATTTTTCTTAATATTACAACGCGTTTTTTCTCTCAGTGTAGTCATTTTTATGCAAAATTTGTGCAATCAAATCGAAAACCGGGACACTTAAACGAAACCCGGGACATTTTAAGGTTGGATCGGGACACCTGGACAAATAGTCTAAAACCGTGACATGTCCGGGAAAACCGGGACGTCTGGCAGCCCTACCCTAATGCCCTAATACCCAGAAAAAACGTATATCCCTTTTTTCTAACCTTTTTTAACGGTTTAAAAGTTATACAATTTTAAATTTAAACCAATTTTTACATGTTATTTACATACAAAATTTCAAATGAACACCAACACTTTTAAAATTTAAATAAAATTTTTCTAAATGGGAGAAGTTACTTCTCAGTAAATAGGTCATTTGAAGGCCACAAATTCGCTAGGTTAGTTATTTTGCATCACCCTTATATATATATACACAATAATTACTCGTTTAAAGTAATAAGTATAAGTGGCAAACTTTTCCGGAAAACACCCCCCAAAAAATAGTCTGGATCCGCCGCTGGGCCTGTGCTATTTTTGATTATGGACTTGGACATGAAATAACACATTTTCTTAAACATTTTTAAGCAAATTTGCGCTTCGACTTGACAGTTCTCTATCTCTGTGTTTTTTTTTTCTTCGCTACAAAATTAATGCAAAATGTAAGTTATTGCTCAAAATTTATCAGCTTCCGTATTAAATTGGTGATGTAAACATGTACAACTTTACTTTTCGTACTCCAGTTTTGATTTGAGAACTGGTTTCGATAAATTTCCGATAAAAATTAGACACGGCAGCGATTTGTTCGTATTTCACATGAATTGAGAGAGCGAACTACGTTATTGGAGTGCCGTGGGAAAGCCGTATTAAATATTATTGTTTAAAAGGCGTTTACACTGTTCAACTTACACAGGCGGTTAGTTGAATCAAAAGTTTACATCATTTAACTAAGAGTTGAACAATGTAAACGCTTTTTAAATATAATGATTGTGTACGATCAGGGAATATGTAATAATATTCTCAACGAAAATTTTTGAAAATATAATCACTGCATCAAGTTTTATACTTGAAAAGGAGGACAATGAGGACATTATTGCTCAAAAGGAGGACAGAGTAGGGCAATATTTTCGAGGAGGACAAATCACATTTGAGGAGGACAATCCTCCTCAAAGGAGGACAGTTGGTCAGCTTACGTTAGAACACTTTACGCTTCTACCGCATCTATTTATAGAGCATTAAAAAAATTTAACTTTCTCTCGTATTCATCAGATATCGACTTCTCTTTGTCAAAACCTAGATTTAAATCTTTATTAAATGAAATTGTTAAATAAACTTAAACTGAATTAGTCTTTGTATAGTCTGTAAGAAAATGTACATTTTCTAGATTATTCTTTAATAAATAAATAATTAAACTGTATCCATGGTACCACATGCCAGGGCCGTAGCCAGGATTTTTTTTCGGGGGGGGTTCTGGCATAATTTTTTTTAGTTTCACTTTTATTTCAACATATTTTGATTAAAAGAAAAATACTGACAAAAATAAAATTTTTCCTTAAAAACAGGGTTGAAATCTTGAAATTCCTGCCCGTAGTTTGTATGTCAAATATGAGTGGCATTGTGCTACTATGATAGCACGGCCGAGTAATCATAGCCAAGTTATGTACAGTAGTCGAAAAAATTATAGCCGCACCAAATTTTGACAAGTTTTAAAATATTATTTTTGTTGTTATTTAATTTCGGTTAGTTTTTTATAGTTCGTTCTTTACCAACATCCGTATAAATACAAGTTTAAAGGCAGAGTCACACGATTGGGTATTTGCTAAAATTTAGAGTAAATCGTATCCCAATTGTTTGAAC